TTTATTTTTTCATATTGATGTTTCACAGTGAATGCAATCTAAACACCATTTACAAAATCAAAGTTCACAATCGTTTCATTTAAAGTACAGCAGAATTAGGCTCTGGACGACATTGTGAATTATGCTATTGATGATGCACTTTCAAACATGGAAATTTAAAAATAGGATTACTGGGACTGACTTTCAGGTTTGTCCTACATCATAACTCACTTATGCTCTAAATAGGTTTGAAGGAGTAAGATGTCCAAATGAAATGGAACAAAATATTTTGAATTCTTAAAGGTCAAACACATTTCAATGGATTATGTGGAAGTTACCAGAGGATTTTAAGGATCGATGCAGGACAGAAATCGAATCAACCAAGCTCTCATTTCATTCTTTGGAAACAGACATCAACAATGGTTAGAGTAAGGATGTGCACAGTTATCATATCATCAGTACTTTAGAAAATTGAATTGCAGGCTTTTCACATCTTTCTGCTGAGACATTGCTCATGAATAGAGTGCACTTTAATTTGTTTATGATTCCTGTACACAACACTTGCATTGGAAAGTAGGCCTTAAGGCATTCATTGGATAAAAACAAAATATACTTATATGGGTGTATATTTATTAAGTTTTCCTGCATTATGAGCTGTAAAAAGACTGTTGTTCCACACTTTCAAAGTCCGAATACATGCCTATCAGAATGTAGCCTAGATGTCATGGTGGGTTAGGCAGGGCAACAGGGATTGGACCCAAATGCAGACAGAACAGGTAGACTGGTGCAATTCAATGATTTATTAGATGATAAAGGCAAATACAGGTACTGTATCAGAAACTAGAAGGTAATTCCCAACAAGACAACTCGGATGAACTGGCAAGGGGAGTGAACTGTTATAAATGGCTGAGTGGGTGATAAGGGAATGAGTTGCAGGCGAGGAGTGGGTGGAGTGTGTCAGGTAACAGCAGAGCAGATGAGGGAAGTGAGAACAGGTGTGTAGCTGGGTGTGGAAGTCAAGTGATAGGGAAGGAAGGAATGTCCAAGGGCATCTGGTAGACAGCTTGAGGATAGCAGGTCTTAGGAGGTAGAGACAGGGACAAAGAGCAATGCAGAGGGCTGGGGACAAGAGTGTGGCTAAAACAGTGACAGTAGAATCTGCAGAATATAGTAATGCACCTAAAGTCGGTGATTGACTGCCCAACCTCTTTAGTGTCTCATTGTCTGCTGCCCGGTGCATGCTGGGAGGGCTTGAGCCTCTTCATGTCTCTATGAAAGCTGAAACTGAATTATTGAGAGTGTCAGAGACACAAACAGAGTTCTGAGATATTGCCACAACATCCCTGTACATCCTGTCTGGCTGCCACACTGAACGTCTGCTGGCAGAATGCAAAGATGCTAAGGAAACGTATTACTCGGGATAACAGGGGAGGGGGGTTGGCTGTGGTTTCTGACCCTGCAAATCATCATTCAGAAGATGGCACAGCTTAGCTGCCCGGCTCGTTTCCACGAGGAAACACTGAATTTGCTGAGTGTCTGACAGTCAGCACATTTACAAGATTTGTTGGCATTCTCCATCCAGCCTAGTAATGCTGTCTCATTTAATGATCTCATTTGAAACATTAGTGGGAAAAGATCTTGATTACTTTTGTTCAGTCAATCACAACACTTACTTTGTTTCCTCCAAGTTTTTGTGATTTAACATTTTCTATATGTTTTGATGTAACATGCTACTCTTAATACACTATATCAATATTGTTAGTTTGGCAGGAATAAGGCATAATTCATTCTCGGAGCTGGGCGTTAGAGGCAATCTGTGAATCATGAAGGGGAAATAGATCACCTTGATTTACATTTCATAGTTGTTCCCACAGTTGTACATCATGCAGAGGTTACACAACCCCACATGTGACAACAGGGGTGAATGGTCAGGATGTCACAATGTGCACTGACATTTGTGTGTCATTCATTCATTTGTGACATCTTGATTCATTTATAGTAGGAAACGAATTGTCGGCTGAAATTGAAAATAAAGTACTAATAAAGTATTTAGTGAATATATTCAGTGTTAGTTAGTTTCTCCTTGACCCCATGCTTTATAATTGTGGGACAGCAGCTGCATGTTTGTGCTGTGTCCTTTACCTTCTTCTCTTACTGAACACGTGACCCTGGGACAGGACAGGTATTCCCATGTGGCTGAGACGAGCACAACCTCCCTCTCCCTCAGGAAAACAAACCGACAAGTCCTGCTGCTCCCTTCTCCTTCAGTATCGCTGCAGGCATTTCTCTAAGATAGCAGCAGAAAAATGTCTTCCCACCAGGCAGGAGCACACGCCCTAGCAGGTTATTTGTTATCGTCACAAAAAGTAAAGTCGTTGTCCTCATTTGTCCAAGTGCGATATCCAGTTCCCTCAAACCTTGAGGCTCTCACCACAGACTAAGAAAGTTCACCTGCACAAGTCAGTGCAAGTCCTCCTCTATCCTTTTCCTCATTCCCACTTTCTTATATGCATAAAGTTACATTTTCTCACTGGGTGTGTTCCCTTTTACAGGCGAGGACAGCAGCCCCCCCTCTGTTCCCCCTCAGCAATAGAGCTTTAAGAATTCACTTTGTAGGCTCAGCTCTGCTGTGCACATACACTACAGGTTCATCCCTACATCAGCAAGCTTTATGATAGACTCAAAAAAGATTCCCCAGCTGTCTGCAGGAGAGAGCCTCAAAGCTGCAAAGCCCTGAGTTTCGGGAAGACGCACGACAGTGTTGGTCCTACTTCTTCAATGCTGCATCTACCTGTTAAGTTTGACGAGGTAGCGAGAGCTGAAGAGAAGCAGAGAAATGGGTGGGGGAGAAAAGGATAAAGCAACAGTAATGACAGGCCGGTGTGGGTATTGGAGGAAATACGATGGAAGTGGACGGAAAGCGAAGAGAGGTGAATTTTTCCAGTTGGATATTAATCATGCACACAAAGCCTGTCTCAGTATTCTAAACAGAAATGGACAGAGCCTGCAGTGCAAAGATATAGCTCCACATCCCTTCTGTCATAAAGTAAATGATGCGTATCTTTATTGTTGACCATGATCAGGGGAATTCAATGTAGTTGACTAGTGTTCACTGTTTCATGAGCCCAAATATATGATTTCATTAGTCCTTTCAGAGAACAGGCTGTCTATTTAACCTTGACAAACAAAATGCTTTTGCTGCTATTTTGAGAATAGAATTGGATGATATTAGATGAGCTGAGAAGTGTTAATTTAATGGCTTCCCTCTATTCTTTTTGGATAACATGAGCTGAATATTGACTGCTGCAGAAGAAATTTGTGAATGTGTAATTTGAGGAAATCTGTGTTGAGTTCAATCACGTTATACTGTGAGGAGCTACTGTGAAGCATGCTCAATCCAAAACTGAATAGATGATTATGAAGGGAAAGATGTAATTCAAAGCCCATTGAGTCCGTGAAATGAAGCTTAAAGATTGTTCTTCACATCTAAAACAATGGTGCAGCAGCCCCAGGAAGATTTTTGCCTCTGATTAAAGCATCATCTTTTACCAGTAATACCAAACAGGTTCAGCTTTTATTTCTGTGGATGCCTGTGTTTGTTGAATATTTGTGATAAGTGTCGACCGAAAAGCTATCAAGGATGTGTGGATGACTGAGTGGTTGTCTTAATTTAATGCTGAACAAAAGCAAATTTTTAACCAATCTTATTTAAAGTGTAAAATTCATTTCCTCCTGTGTATTGCAATGATCCCCAAAATATATGTTTCCGAATTTCAACTAACAATTTGGCATATGATGGCTATAATAAGGGTACAAAGCACATGCTTAAATAATGCATAACTATGTTGTATCTTAGCAACAACGTTGCTTAATTTTAAAGTTTTATTTGGATGACATTTTACTGCTTTTTTAGAAATGTTAATTAATAATTAGCAGATACATTCTTTCAGTGAATGTACAGTAAGTCATTTGCAGCTTAGTATCAGGACATGGCTTTTCTTAGTGGACACAGTCCAATAGTTACTATCTCATGTGAGAAGTAATGACAAAGTTATGATGAACTCATAATTAGATAATACTTGTACAAGTAATCATTTGCAGCTTGCTTTACTTAAGGAGATACATGTTAACCAGGAAACTGGGGACAGGGTGGAGTTTCCTCAGATTAACTGGATTTCAACACACATATTTTCAAAACAGATACCTCATTTAATCTGATCATTTGCATAATAACATGATTAAATATTGATTACAGGTACTGAGCAGCTTCTGTGAACAGTGCTGGAATCTGCATATTGAGCTGAGGGTCAGCATACTAGAGCAGCTCTATAGGTTTGACCAATATTTGCTGCAGTTATAAGAAACATTAATACAAATCCTTGATACAGACCTGCTTGGTCTTACTAAAACCATTTAGTGTGTACAAATAAAATAAAATAGTTAACACTTTGTAACACCAAGTGTCTGATGCACTGAGCGTTTATGGCCGGAGCTCATTTCCAGAGGCCTGCCGCCCGCAGATGGCAGCAGATACGGCTTGTTATAAATCTTTTATACTGCAGCGCTCGCACATTTGCATGCTCATGTTTCAGGATATTTGTCCATTAGGAGCTGTGGCCAGTGTACTGATTCCCCCTATTATTTCTAGTTGATTACCCAAGCAGTTGCATTTAGACCAAGGAGAAGTGAAGGGCAACCGGGCAGCAGAGCATGACCAATGGGGAACAGACATCCCACATGGCGCCCATTTATTCATATAGCCTCTGCTTCATTTGGAAGATTACCATGCCATCATGAATTTGCTCACATCTCAACCTTACATTACCTTATTACAAGTTTTTTACCCCTACATTGTTCATTAGTTGACTCTGCAACTTCCAGTATGTCATGAAATGTGGACCACACCTTTGTTTGAAAGGCCAGTTTGTGCTGCTTCTTGGTATCCCTTCTGACTGAAGGCTGATCATAAATTACTTTGCGCTAGTCCCTGACCTAAACCTGCTGTCTGTCCCTGTCACCAGTCTGCTCCCAGTTCTCCCGAGGAGTTTACGCCATCTTCGGCTTCTACGACAGGAAGTCCATGAACACGCTGACCTCCTTCTGCGGGGCGCTGCACACCTCCTTCATTACGCCCAGCTTCCCCATCGATGCTGACGTGCAGTTTGTCATCCAGATGAGGCCGAGTTTGCGAGGAGCTGTTCTCAGTCTGCTGGACCATTATAAGTGGGAGAAGTTTGTCTACCTTTACGACACTGACAGAGGTAAGAGTGGCTTTCTGAGAGAGCAAGACACACACCCCCACACCTATGAAACCACCAAAAGATTTTCAGTAGGAGACAGATGAGTAGTGCAGAACATCTCATTGCTAGACAAAGTAGAAGAAGTAATCGGGATGCCAAGCCCTGCTCACGCAGATGTGTTATTATAGAGTGTATATGATCAGTCTTTAATATGTAAATCCATCATCCCCAATCCTCATCCTAAATAGTCTGATACATTTTAATCTATGCCAGTAATGATCCTAAATTGCCTCGCTATGTGGCTGAATGCTGCTCACAGAGGGAGTCAATAGCTCCTTGCTTCCGAGGAATGAGTCATTCACAGGTGCTGCTGATCCGCCGCCGTAGTATGACTCCAGCCGCCTGAGCCCCTAATCCTCGGCATTCTCTGACTATCATTTAGTTCTAATTGGATTATATAAAGACAGAACACAACATACTGTAACTTCTGTATGTGCTTCATGGCCTCCCACTCCCCTCATTTAGGCCAACTATTTACAGACTTTGTGTCTTTGTCGTCCTCTGAGGGCCAGCCTCTAAAAGGGCTGCGTTAAGAAAGAGCACAACAATCTGGGCTGTGTAGACTGGACCACAAGTTGGCCGTTGTCAGCAGCAATGACATACTGCATGATGTGATTCCATTTGTATTTTCAAGTCTTGTTAAAATCAGCCCTTAGATGTAGAGATTTTCTGGGTGCAGTCTCTGCTGTTAAATGTGCCAAGCTGTTCAGAGCTGTGCATTCCAAGTATTTTTAAACTGACATAGAGCATTTCTAGGACAAGTGCACTCCTTTTCCACTTCCCCCGCCTCACTTTATATATCTCCAGTTCAGGTGGGTGTCTAAGCTGCTGCTCAGTCATGAAAATGATTCTCACAGAGCCATTTTGTGCATTTTTAAAACAATTTTTGTCAGTTTTTTTCAACGGATTTATGTCTGACACAAAGTAAGACAAAAGCAACACTTCCATAATTGTGATGTATATGTTCAGGGCCATGTTTGATCTTGATTTCTTTGAACTTGCTGATGTGTCTCTGTGTTTTGGTGGCAGATTGCAGAAGCTGATAATTGGTTGGCTGGCGTGGTTGAGACAAAATGATGATGGAGTTTATAGCCTCTCAATGGCACAATCATCCTTCTTAGAAGTGCTTCCTGATGTGGCCCTTAGAACTCTGCTTGACTTTGTTGGCTTCTTTCACCTGCTGTGTCGAGGCTGACGGGCCACCATCTGTTATACTTTGCGCATTTCAACAGCCTGATACAGTGTAAACACTGTAGTTTAGGATGGATTCCCACACGCTGCACAGCTTGTGTTTGCTGAGAGGCTAGTTAGCCGTCCTATTTTGGCTGCCAGTCCCAGCCTGCTCCTCCCCGTCAAGGCTCTGGAGCAATATAGCCAACACTCATCCAAATGTCAGTTTAATCTTCATTATAGGAACAGGGCTCTATTTAGGGCCACAGAAGGACTTGCAGGGGGCTCTCAAGAGATGTTTGTCTGAGTGACTGTTCATAGTTTGTGTGACGATATGACAGTAATATGCTGCCGAGGCATTTTACAATGACACGTGTAATGCCTGCCCCTTAAGAAGACACTTGCCACATTTGAACAGAGCCTTTTATCAGAACAAAGGCATCCTAAAGTCAGCCTGAAACTGGAAAAATCATTAAAATGAAACAGTGGATCCCCTGCTGTATATCTTGGGGAAGTGGACTCTGTCTTCCCTTTAATCACACTCCATAAAAGGGATTTTTTATCATAGCCTGAATGGATAACTACCACCAAGACTGTGTCCGTATGACAGGATTTTGACTGTAATAGAAAATAAAATGCCCAGAGATACCACTAATTTAACCATGCATGAACTCCGCATTTAATTTTCAATGTGAATTTCAAATAGGATATGGGATTCACATCAAATAGGTGCAGCTTCACTTTCATAATGATGATACCTTCTGCTGACAGCAGTGTTGTACTGATTTAAAAAGTTTTAACTGACATATGCGAAATGATTATTATTATAATGAGTGTAGTTTGTTTCCCACAGCTGCTTTTTACAGAATGGGAGTGTTTCATGCAACCCACGTCTTATTATAAGAACTGATTGTTTGACAAACATAGCTGATACAAAAGGGGAAACTGAAGAAGTCACCCATATCCAAGAGAAGCACAACAAAAAACAGAACAGACTTTACGCCTTGGTCAAATAAAGACACGTTTATCTGCTGCAATGCAACATCACGTTTTTTATCCTGGATGTACTAGTTATGAAATGTCCTCATTAAACAGGTTAATGGCTGCTGGCAGAAAAGACCCCTTGAACTGAGAAACATCTGGACATTACCAGCTGGCCACTGAGAGTAGGCCCACACCAGGTTTTTCATATGTAAATATTTTACAAGGGGGTGCACATGATACCATTCATGCAAGTTAGTAAGACTTTATACTGTAGTACAATCATCCTTGTCAAAGTGATGACAATTTTCAAAGTAATCTCATCCAATCCTACAACAGATTAAAACCATACCGTGTATTAGGGCGGCTGTGGCTCAAGGGGTAACGTGGCGCTTTGAGTGGTCAAAAAGACTCGAATGATACTTCACATCGGCTATACAAGTACAGACCATTTACCATTATTGATTAACAAAACACTTTCATATACCAAAAATCTATTGCAAAACACGTTGTACTATGGTAATTCAAACCACAGAGGGTGAGTGGTGAACTTACTGTCAACATGCTTTGCGCTGCAGTTATTTTAATGACCTCTACAGGCTGCCTCTAAGATAACAAAGATTGTACTGATGTCAAGAGAAACAAAGGTCAGCTTCTGTCGTGAAATATAAAAATCAAAGAAACATTTCCACAAGACATTACAGTCTCAATAGATAAAATCACTTCTTCTAATGTGTGTCTTGGGGGTGATTTTGAGAACCATCGTTTCATGAAAATGATCTCTGTCCTCTCCTCTATAGTGACCTCTAGATATTCTGACTAAAGCAGTAATGTAGATTTATTAATCACTTTGCGGATGTTGTTGCTGACCTTAAGTCTAATACCTATAGTATTACATGCAAATGTCATCCTGCAGTTTTCTTTATTTTTAGCATTTAACGTTTTGAGATAAGTGGTGGGACACTGTACAATTACTCTGTAACAGTGCACTGAAACAATACATAAGCTTTCGTTCGGACACCACACTTTAACAGCAAAATGTTCTTAAAATACCAAAGGCGAAAGTTCTCATTATGCAGAAGAATGGCCACTGTCAGTGTTTTATTATTGTACATCATTGATTTATTATTATTATTCATGCATTATGCATACATGTGTATGCAGCAGTCTAATGTGAAGCAAATACCACACAATCTTCCTCTTACAAATGAAAAGTTGAGTTCATATACAATGAAACTTAACTTGGCTGTCATGTGGCCATCAGCTTATGGTGGATATGATATGATATAATATTTTGGATATGATATGATATATGATACATGAACTTTAGATGGATATGTCTTAGCATTTAAGTGTCCCATAATTGTCACTTGTGCTCAGAGTGTTTATCTAAAGCTAATAGTTATAATCTTTAATTTAGAAAATTAGTGCATCATATTGTCTGAGCTCATCATGTTTTCTATGTCAAATCTGAATTTGTAAATTAACTTTAGATTTTAAACAAATCGAATAGTCATTTAAAGAGTATAGCATTTCCATCTTACATGTAGCAGAATAAAATTCCTAAGTAGCACGAAGTGGACAGAATCAAGTAAAGTACAGGTACCTCAATATTGTATGTACAGTACTTGTGTGAGATCTTACTGTGTAATCTAGTCCTCACTGTCTAATGTAGTCCTCCTGATTCATGAACTCTACATAATGCAAACTAGATCTTAATGTATTTTTGTTGCCATTAAAATGAAGGAGTACAATCTAACAGCCTTAACTGCAGCTTTTCCTGCATTCTCCTGCCTTTCTGACAAATGGGAATGGTCGGGGTGGTGGGGAATTTACATTTGGTGTGCAATCACACTGCCCTTCTGCTGAATGTCTGGTTGGTTTCGTCTCTGCAAGGAAACGTCTGATTAATTGCATGCTGCTAAAGAGCTGCACTCAGCAGTCAGCCACACAGGCTCATTAAGAGAGAGTGGGAGAGAAAGAGAGAGAGACCGAATGGCACAAAGCAGCTGTTCCACTCTGTGAACACCTTACTGCACCTTCCCTCCCAGATGGACACATATCAATACGACCTGAACCCCCCCCCCCCCCCCCCCCCCCCCCCCGTGTCTAAATACTGCTTTCCTCTCAGGCTTTAATATTGGGACTGAGGCAGAGATTTATCAATCAAGCTCTTCTGCTTCAAGAGAGCTGTTTTCCTCCTTGTTAAAGGACTCTATTATGCCTCATAGACAACATAGAAAGAGCAAAGGAGAGCATAACTGGGATACACAGGTAACTGAAAGGTGCTTTTCTGTAAGGTGGGTTTCAAAGGATTCTGAAAAACATGGGTATGTTGCTAACGAGAAAACACAAGGCTGCCACTTTTTAAATTGTCCAAGGTTAGGCAGGACTGTATCAAATTAGATACACTTTCTAAATCGAACAGTGCCTTTTTTCTTCTGTTGGCTTATAAAAACGTATTTATTCGGCTCCATGTTTTTAAGAATCCTCTCTCAGTCAGTGTCAAATGAATTTAAGATTATCCATGGGCATCAGATTGTTTTTAGATTTAGAGAGAGTGTGTGTGTGTTGTGGGTTGACGTCATCGGTGACAACCTCAAAGGGCGGCGTGCATTCAGTGAGAAGATACAGCTGAGGCATTAGCTGTCTCTGAGTTTTTCTGCATGAACCAAACCAAGCTCTCACACCACTATGCCAGATGCCCAAAATGGCACCAATTGATGCAGAGGCAGTACACAACATCAAACAACATTTAAGCTGCAGATTTTCTGCTCCACACTGCAGTATCAAGCTCATTGTATCGACAA